CTCGATTATATTCAGTAGTAAACGTAAATAATAAAGTACAAATTCAACCTCCCAACATATATATATATATATAAAATGAATAGTATATTTTGAATGCACATTTGAGACCTAGCATTTTTGTAGCTAAAATTTGAACGATGTTCCATAATTTGTTTCTTAATTGACCACTAAATTTGCACGCTATTTTAAATTTAAACAAAAAAATCTAGAAGTAGTTTCTACATCTAATGAGTGACTTGCATAGAAATTATGATTTGGTCCAGAAAGACCGCAAAGACTTACTGTGCAACATTCTTAGTTTCTAAATTCTGAATTATGATTACTGACCAAGCAAGAATAAGAAGCTGCTCTCATGAAGACCCGCTTTGGAAAAAGAGAATGGAGAGTTTACCCAAAATAAAATAAAATAAATATTAAAAAAAACACGATGCAAGAATATTTTGTCAATCTGAGTTTTGGAGTACAGTAAACTAAATCTAGAATTTCGAATAGACGAGGAATAGTAGTAGACTATGGAAAAGGAAGAGTATTGATACTGTTCAAACATATATTAGTAGGATATTTTCTTACATTAATTTTGTTAGAATACTAAAATGTTGTTGTGAAGGGGAGTCTTGGCGTAACTGATAAAATTATTTTATATGACCAGTAGGTCACGGGTTCAAGTCGTGAAAACAACCTCTTGCAGATATGCATATAAACTTGCGTACAATAGGCTCTTTTGGTACAGCCCGAATATCAACATACTTGAGCAAAACATGCTCACGTTTCTCGTTTTTAAATCTCCAAAATTAGTGGGATTTCATTAGCAACATTTGTCAATTCTATCAAAGGTTATTATTATGCCGTGAATAAACGCAGCTGCCTTCCATAACTTTTCTTATTCAATTTCATACCATCAATATATAGTTTGAAGAACCTATATTAAATCATTACTAGTTTAGTTGAAGAAGAGTGAGAATAACTCCATTTGACAAGTAAAACAAATTTGGAAATATAGCCGTTGTAAATATAATAGTCGAAAAAATGTATAAAATTTATATATTTTCGTATNTATATATATATATATATATATATATATATATATATATATATATATATATATATATATATATATATATATATATATATATATATATATATATATATAAACTGTATGTTATATACAAAAGTATACTACAAGTCTTATACACTTTTTTCGGCTACCAGATTTAAATAATTTTTGGCGCGGGCAAAAAGTGATACTATGGTTGTTTAATTATTTATACAAACATATCAATTTACCATGATTAAGTGAATTTATAAGGTGAGAATGCATATTGATCAATCATGGTTAAACAAAATAAGTTAAATTTGCAATCATATGTCATGCAACTATTAATTTAGTGTAAACACCAAATGCAGCTACAATTTTATCTCCACGCACACACTTACGCTTCACTCTCATATCCAGAAGATGAAAGTGGCAGAGATGAGGATGTTGAGGTGGATGTGCGGGCATACTAGGATGGATAAGATTAGGAATGAAGTTATTCGGGAGAAGGTGCGCGTGGCTCCTATGGATGATAAAATGCGGGAAGCAAGGCTCAGATGGTTCGAGCACGTGCGGAGGAGGAGCCTTGATGCTCCGGTGAGGAGGTGCGAGATTTTGGCCCTGGCGGGGACGAGAAGAGGTAGAGGGTGGCCTAAGAAGTATTAGGGAGAGGTGATTAGACAGGACATGGTGTTGCTCCAAATTTTCGAGGACATGGCCCTTGATAGGAAGATATGGAGGTCGAGCATTAGGGTTGTAGTTAGGATGTAGTCAAGTCTAGGGGTGAGGCTAGTTCGATAGGGGTGGTCTTAGACTGCTAGGGGTTTATGTTATGTTCTCCTATCCTTACGTTTTCATAGCATCGGGCCCATTTTCTGGTTTTGTTATTGCATTTCAACTATTTTCTAGTTCTTATGATGCTAATATCATTTCTTTAGTTTCTGTTTGATGGTACTAATATATTGCCCCTTTCCTTCTCTTCTTGTTTTTTCCGTCTTCTTGAGCCGAGGGTCTTTTGGAAACAACCTCTATACTCATTCGAGGTAGGGGTAAGGTCTGCGTACACATTACCCTCCCCAGACCTCAATTGTGGGTTTTTACTGGGTCGTCGTTGTTGTTGCTACACGCACGCACTTACGCTTCAGAAATAAATAAAAGAAAGACTAAGAAGGAGAAGAAAGAATATTCATCGGCTTCCCAATGCAAATTGACATACTTAGGCAGACGAAACCATACCATCTTTAGTGAATGACACGAAGAACAGACAACTGAATGGTTTGACGACTGAAGATCCCCAGTCTAAATTATTATATTGATACAAAAACGTATCATCATCAGGAGGATATCAGGAGGAAAAAAAAAACACATACAATAATGAGACCTAGCTATTACTAAACATTCCCCCAACCCCATTTGTTTGCATAGACAAACTTAATATAGAAAGAGCTATGAAAGAATGATTTACATTGACGCTCAATTCGCACCAACTAAACAATTTGAAACTATTTGTGACACAAAGTCACACGACTAAACCTGACCAGAGGTGAAGGGCTTGCAACAACAACCCTGTTCGGGAGACTACCGCGTTTTAGGAGGCTTTCTGTTTTGTTTATTCTCATGATCCAACTCATCGCAACAATCTGCAACGTGCTCTGAGAAATGCAGGCTCTTGAAACAGAGTTCACAAACATCAATGTCTTGTGATTTCCTGTCAGTATTTGTTAGTTGAGATTTTTACAGCCTGCAGTTTTATGCTTTACTTTGGAATAGCCTTAAATTACTCTTCTTTCACCAAAGATAATACTGGAACCCCTTTGGTTGAAAAACTTGAACACTTCACTCGCAGCTCATCACCCACCTCAAAGTCCCTCTTTGCACCAGGCTGCACCGCACATTCAGCAGTTAAAACAAGAAATATCTCATTGAACATCTAAAAGTGGTGGAATGCAAAATAAAACCTACTGGGACCATCCAAATATTTGTTACAGTTTTTGTGAATATCAGATGGCTAAACAAGGAAAAGAAGGGAAGCAAGCAATGGTCACCAATAGAAACATAAAATTAAGAAAATATAGCAAATATTTTGACCCCAACTTGCAAATAAGGCATTTTACATAAAGCAGAGTTGCTGTAGAAAGTTCAAAAAAATAGAGAAACTTTAAGACAGTAAAGTGAAACATACCTCAAAACGATACATTCCCCGAATTCCACCACCCAAATCCAGCACCAAACCAAGGGCACGAATTTGATGCACCTTTGCTGTTACTTTCATACCAAGCTTTAGTTTATTTGCACTCATAGGGGTCTCAGTCGTAGCGTCATTCTTATCTGACCCAATTTTAGAATGCAGGCCTGCTTCAGAAGTATGTTTCTGCTCACTTTCATCATCACTTAGTAGGTCAAGAATGGCATCCTTGCCTCTTTTGGACTTGGCATTTCTTGAAGAAAAACTAGATTCTAAGAAAGACGACGACATCCTTGTTTTCTTATCAAATTTAGGAGGACTTTTAGATCCATTATCACCTTTTGAATTTAGACCAGCACTTTTTTCCTCCTCATCACACTCGGCAGCACTTCGGATTAGAACTGCTGGTGTAGCTGACTTTAAAGTTGATTCACTAGTTTCAGGCCCCGCATCAGCAACTTCTTTTTCTTGCTCATTAGATACATCCTCAATGGCAGCCCAAACATTAACCTCTGGACTAGCAGGAGCAACAGGTTCATCAACAGAAATGTGTGTCTTGGATTTTGGTCTAGGCAGAGTAGCTTTTAGTGATAACTTAATATTACCACGAACGTCCTGCCCTATACACATTAAAGAAAGTTGCTTTCCCACAGATACCACGTCTGAAACTCGGGAAACCTAATGGTAAAAAGACACAAATTAATCACAAAACAATAACATGTCATGAGTAGTCAATCTAGCCTAAACCTTCATGCCTCTGACCTTGTTCCTCAAGTACAACAAGGACAGTATAAACTATTCAACTTATGTTTTTACCATATAATTATGCATGACTTGCACAATTTTTACATATAGGGCGTGTATGGTATGAAGGAAAACTTTTTCCGAAAATGTTTTCCAATTTTCCCATGTTTGGTTGGCCTAAATGTTTTGGAAAACATTTTCCTCATGAACTCATTTTCCTCCAATTTGAGGAAAATGTTTTTCCTTTTAAGAGAAGGAAAAACATTTTCCAAAACTTTTCTCAACCTTCCCCACACTATTCACCATCCTCATCAACCCCCACCAAACCAACCCACCCCCACACTGTTAGAAATATGCTTTAGAAGCTGCTCTCAGTAAAATTATTTTACCGTTTCAGCTATTTACTGCAGTAATTTAGTTTGAATTAGAAATAATTTTGAACTAGTCTTTAGGAGTGAACTAGTCTCTAGGAGTTAGTTATTTTCAGCATATTTTGTGCTGATTTTTAGGTCTTTTAAGTTAGTATTTCTCTTATAAATTGTAGTCCAAATGCAGTAAAATAAGATAGTATTTTCAGCTTCAGTTCCTTTTACATCTATTCCAGTATATTTTTTATTTTCTTGTCATCTTCCCAGTTATTTCCCTTAATTTCTTTGATCAAGAACCAACAATTGGTATCAAGAGCCATCTTCTTAAGGGACCTAAGTAAAATCTTTTCTTGAGTGAGATGGAGACTTAAATGAGTTTTTCTCGATTGGCTCCTCCAGTCTTTGATGGTGAAAATTACCAACTGTGGGCAGTGAGAATGGAGACTTACTTGGAGGCTTTAGATCTTTGGGAGACCGTGGAAAAGGATTATGATGTTCTTCCGCTGCCTAACAATCCCACGGTGGCCCAGATCAAGAGTCACAAGGAAAAGAAAACCAGGAAATCAAAGGCGAAAGCAACTTTGTTTGCTGGTGTGTCTGCAACAATTTTCACGAGAGTTATGGCTCTCAAATCAGCTGGGATTATCTGAAGGGAGAATATACAGGAGATGAAAGAATACGAGACATGAAGGTGTTGAATTTAATAAGGGAATTCGAGTTGCGGAAAATGAAGGAATCTGAGACTATCAAAGAATACTCAGATCGGTTGCTTGGCATTGTTAACAAGGTAAGATTGCTTGGTACTAAATTTAAAGATTCAAGAATTGTTGAAAAAATTCTTGTTACGGTGCCTGATATGAAGTATCCATAACTACCTTGGAAAATACAAAGGATCTATCCAAGATTATCTTGGCAGAATTGTTAAATACATTGCAGGCACAAGAGCAAAGGAGGCTTATGAGGCAAGATGGTATGGTTGAAGGAGCCCTGGCAGCCAACCACAAAACTCAAAGCAAGGGTAATAATGTTAAAAAAAATTACCCGCCTTGTCAGCACTGTGGCAAAAAAGGTCATCCACCATTCAAATGTTGGAAGAGGCCAGATGCAAAGTGCAAAATTTGCAACCAACTTGGTCATGAAGCTGTAATTTGCAAAGGCAAATATCAAAAGCATGAAGCAGATGCCCAAGTCGCCAATGAAGAAGAAGAAGATCACTTGTTTGTGGCAACTATTCTTTCAACCAAAAAAATCTGATTTTTGGTTGATTGACAGTGGTTGTACGAAACACATGACATATGACAGAAATCTTTTCAAAGAGTTCACGTCTATAGGAAATAAGAAAGTCAGAATTGGAAATGGTGATTATATTCTTGCTAAAGGAAAAGGAACTGTTGCAATCCCAACAAATTCAGGTACTAAGAAAATTTCAGATGTTCTTTATGTTCCTGATATTGATCAAAATTTATTAAGTGTTGGACAACTAATGGAAAAAGGATTTAAAGTATCCTTTGAAGATAAATATTGTTTCATTTATGATGCAACTGGACTTGAGATTTTAAGGGTTAAAATGAGAGGTAAAAATTTCTCATTTGATCCAACCGAAGATGAAGAATGGAGCCAAAAGAATCTACTAAGTGCAGGTAATTCTCCAACTGAGGACATATGTGAAAATAAGGTAAGGAAGAAGTTGTCAATATTTCAGAAAATGCAATTCTGGAAGAAAGTTGACAAGTCTCAAGGCAAGATGCAAATGAAGCTGAAAAACGAGCCAACTTATTTCATTAACAATCAAGAGATGCAGCAAAATACAGAAGTGAACTCGATTCACTGCAAGTCCAAAGATCAGTTGGCAGATTTACATACAAAGTCGCTTCCAGTTAAAGGTTTACAAGGGACAAATTCAGAATTTGCAGCTTCAAAAGCAAGGAGGAGTGTTAGAAATATGCTTTAGAAGCTGCTCTCAGTAAAATTATTTTACTGTTTCAGCTATTTACTGCAGTAATTTAGTTTGAATTTGAAATAATTTTGAACTAGTCTTTAGGAGTGAACTAGTCTCTAGGAGTTAGTTATTTTCAGCATATTTTTGTACTGATTTTTAGGTCTTTTAAGTTAGTATTTCTCTTATAAATTGTAGTCCAAATGCAGTAAAATAAGATAGTATTTTCAGCTTCAGTTCCTTTTACATCTATTCCAGTATATTTTTTATTTTCTTGTCATCTTCCCGGTTATTTCCCTTAATTTCTTTTATCAAGAACCAACACACACTAAATAAAAATACTATTAATAGTACTTTCTTTTCATGTTATAGATAGATTTTTTTTTTCATTTCAACAAATGAATATTTTTTTTATGATATAAAAAAAAAATTCATTTAACAAAAAAATATTTTCTTTTCATGTAGAAAAAGTTTTTTTTTTCATTTCAACAAAAAAAAAATTCTTTTCATGATGTAAAAAAAGTATTTTCTTTTTCCATTTCAACAAAATGAGTATTTTCTTTTCATAATGTAGAAAAGGTATTCTTTTATTTCATAAAATGAGTACTTTATTTTTATGTTGTAGAAAGAGTACTTTCTTTTTCAACCAAAAAAGAGTATTTTCTTTTTAATTATTGAGCAAAAATTTCAATGTTATTTTTGCGTAAAAAAGTAAAGCAACACATTAGTTCCTTTGGGTTTGTACATGTGAATTTTTAGATACATGGGGAGGGTGAGGAGAGTAGCATAAAAACATATTTTCCTAAAAAAAATATTTTCTACTCTCTAACCAAAAGAAAATATTTTCCAGAAAATATTTTTGATTCACCAACCAAACAAGGGAAAATAAGTGATAAAACCATTCATTTCCCATGAAAACACTTTCTAGGAAAACATTTTCCTTCGTACCAAACACACCCATATAGACATTACATTTGCTGAATTAAAAAATTTGTGTGGAACCGCAGCAGATTGCAAGCAATATATAGTCCAGTTAATTTCAAATTTTCGAAGAAAAATTATAAATTTGTGCTTGTAAGCAATGATATACTATCTCAGAAGAAGGTCATCATTATTTTCTGCAAATAGTCTCAATCTCTATTTGCATAGTAGGAGTGAGCTATTAGTACGGTAATATCGACTTTTGTAGAGTGGGCACTATGACTGAGTGAGATTGAAAAAGCATCAACTTTTAAACTGCTAAGATACTTTTTTTTTTCCAACTGCTAAGATACTTGACATTACAAAATTTTGATCCATTACCCTAAAAGAGTAGTCATCACCCAAAATCAAAAGAAACAGAGGCTCACTATGGTCCTTCCAAAAATAAATCTAATATTTTGCAGGCTACTAGGTTACCAGTACAAAGTGTTAATTTCAACCGAAAAATCTGTAAACCAACAGGACTGAACTTGTGTAACTCATCCTTAACCCTAGTGCACATACGAGAGAGAGAGAGAGAGAGAGAGAGAGAGAGAGAGAGAGCACCTACCGGTTCGTGTGACAATTCTGAAATATGTAAGAGGCCTTGTTGTCCACCATTGAACTCCACGAAGGCACCGTATTCTTTAACAGATGTAACAATACCTTTATATATGCCTCCAATCTCAATTTCACGCCCAATAATGAAATCAACCTGTCAAAAATAAATTACAAAGGATGACATTAGTTGGCTCAGAAACTTTTCAAGGATTGTGAAGCCAAAGGAAAGTGAAAAACAAGGTTTTGAAACATCTATAGGACATGGGAAACTTTCACGACAAACCTTTCTACAACTAATTCACCATTCTGTCTTAGCTGTTCTACTTACTTCAGTTACAAGATTGTGCTCAATCTCTTCTACAACAACAACGAACCCAGTGTAATCCCATAAATGGGGCCTGGGGAGGGTAGTGTGTACGCAACCTTACCCCTACCTTATAAAGATAGAAAGGTTGTTTCCGATAGACCCTCGGCTCAGGGAACAGTGGAGATAAGACAAAGCGGCCAAGTAGCAAACAATGGAAACAACAATGTAATATGATAACGAGCGTGAATGACACAGCAACAACAACAACAAACCCAGTGCAATCCCACATGTGGGGTCTGAGTAAAGTAATGTGTACGCAGACCTTACCCCTACCTTATGAAGGAAGAGAGGTTATTTCTGATAGACCCTCAACTCAAGTGACACAACATGTAATAAAGAACCATGATAAGATAATACAAAAATAATCCTAGTACTACTGGTAAACCTAGGAGGAATACACTATTATCAGTCAACCTACGACCCTAATTCTCGACCTCCACACCTTCCTATCGTGGGTCATATCCTCGGTAAGCTGAAGCAACGACATGTCCTGCCTAATTACTTCTCTCCGATACTTCTTAGGCCTACCTTTTCCCTTCCTCAGACCCGTCACGGACAACCCCTCACGCCTCCTGAACGGAGCATCTATGTCTCTCCTCGTCACATGCACAAACCATTTCAACCTCGATTCCCGCAACTAGTCCTCCACAGATGCCACTCCTACCTTGTCCCTAATAACTTCATTCCTAATCATGTCCTTCCTGGTATGCCCACACATCCATCTCGACATTCTCATTTCAGCTACTTTCATCTTCTGGACATGGGACTTCTTGACGGGCCAGCACTTAGCCCCCCATACAACATAGTCAGTCTAACCACCACTCTGTAGATCTTGCCCTTAAGTCCAGGTGGGCCAAACAACAAATTACATGCAGTGGGCCAACAAATTACCTTCTCCTGTACTTTCTCCATCACTGACTGATTTTTTGCAACTATTGTAAGTGTTCCATCACTAACCGAGATCCGTGCACCTACATTATGAATCAGTAGGGAGAAATCAATACAAATCTTAAAAGTGATAAAGGAATCAGCTGGAGAAGTTAACGATAGCTGCACCATCACAAAGCGTTTACATATGCAAATGCAATGTCGTAAGACATGCATTATATGTCTCTACGTGTGTATCTTTGTGTGTGTATCCAATGAAACTTAACAAGGCAAAGTGATAATGAGGATAAACAATATGAAGTAAAGTAAAACTAGTTCACATTCAGTTTGTTAAAGCCAAAATTAATATTACCGCAACAAGTTTGAAGGGAAGAAAATTCTACTAACAAAGTGAAGCACGCTATTAACATTAGAACTACATCAATGCTCAAAAGCAAGAGAGGCAGGAGGAAATATATTATTAGCCAAGTCCTCATGTCAAAGATCACCGAAAAATCAAAATAACCAGGTAAAGATTACAGATAACTCTAATGCAAACTGTTGACTGCACCTGTTTCTTCTTCAATTTTCCTCTTCAAAGCACCAACAGGACCAATCAAGCGACGAAGGGCGTCATTGCTGTATTTTAACGTAACTGTGTTGAAGCAGTTACCAAAATATTAGCAAAAGAGACATGTTAAATGAAGTGGAAACAAAGAGTTTAGATAAATCCAAAATCAATGATGGGGAAGAAGCTACTTACCTAGCCGAGGAGAATATCTGTCATCCTGAATACGTGGAGCACTTATCTCGCGCTCCATATGTTCAAGGATTTGAAGCCTCCCTTTAAGTGCAGGATCTAGACATTCGCATACGATATCCAAAGGAATTCCAGCTGGTTTTATATCTAATTGTATTGCGGTCACTCCATTACGGGTGCCAGCAATTTTAAAATCTATGTCACCCAGATGATCTTCCAGACCCTAGAAGTTACTTAATCAAGTAAGTAAAACTCACATCAAACTTAAGAGAAAGATGGAGACCAGCCTTAGCCAAAAGAAAAGTAGGATCCAACTTAAACCAACAAGTCAGAGGAAGAGGAGTAATGTAAACTACACAAGTGGTGATCAGATAAGTAAAGCTTTGAAGCCGATAACTCTGTCTACAAGAATTGCAGTTTCCGCGACCTCAAGGTTTTATGAGCATATAGTTCTGGTAGAAGTAAAATCTAATCACAGTGCAAGTAGCGCATTGGTAGAAAGACAAGGTACAGACTGGGAGCTTCAGCAAGTCAAAGGGCTGCATAAACACACAAGACCAAGCTAGAACACGAAACAAATGGAAACACGCAACAGTGCACTCCACAATCCGCATTTCTACCAAAATAAAGAAGAGCAGCACTTCTCGTAAGAATTTGGTGAAATCCAAGAGGAAACAAAAGGTCACAAGAAAGTCCACAGTTTCATATTACAAGCATTAAGCATGCAAGGGAGTGTTGGTTGAATAGTAGATGCACATCTTAAAACCTAGTCCTTCAGTGACTAGATGATTTCACAACTTTAAAGCACATACCCACAGTGACCA